ATTTACGTCGAAATCACAACTTGCACTCTACCTCGTCTAGATAAGTCCAAAAATTCCCTTTTTGTAATGGACCGTCTTTTTTCAGATGGCGTTTAAAGGTAACTCCAATATGCATCTATTGTAGCTGTGTTTTGCCTCTTGTCGGATCAACGTTTCTGGAAATGTTCACTGAAAAATGTGTATATCCAGACATTCACAATCAATTACAATCTCTCCGTTTGGCCGGTCACTTTGTGTTGCCTTCGGCCACCGACGTGTTGATGGTCATTCTGTGTCGTCCAGCGTTTTGCATTCGCTTGTTCGAAAGCAGCCTTTTCGGGAAGTATTATAGATAGCCACTACACAGCACTTCTATTTCATTCGGCCAATATTTCATTTTCGATTCCTGACCGGTGTTACGCCTGTTTGAGTTTCGAATCCCGGCCCTCCAAGTCGGTAGACACGTACCACTCAGTTGCTGATCTTGTGCTTACTCTGGTGATGGAGGCATATCGACAAACTGGCGTCCCCGAAATCAAATGCAGAATTGCATTTGCACATGTTAAAATCGAAAACCGACTGTCAGTAAAGATACGTTCTGTTCTCGTTGTCTGGCATCTGACGCCCCTGAAAATAACTTGGCCCTTAATTGCTCGCGCTTCTTGCGTGTATATTCCTTTTCCACGGATACATATCTACTAGGAAATCTTTGTTTTTACAGTAGGAAAGGACTTCTAGTAAGCTGATCATAACCTGTATCGGTTGATATTCCGTTATTCTAGGTGTTGAGTTAATCGTGCGCAGATGCTTTTCATTCGTAGTTTGGGCAGAAAAATAAAAGTAGACTTGATCTTAATCTACCACATTGCCCTAATTTTGCCAGAAAAAGCGATCGTGGGTTTGCTTTAAGATGACGGTCACAAAAGCCATACCGACTTCAACTGGCTATTGGTTGGGGCTTGTTTACGAAATTTCTTAAAAGTGCCTTCTTTAATTGAAACACTTTCTAGCAAAATAATTTCATGGACATGCTGCTTTTCTTACAGTAATGACTTATTGTGGCACTTCGTAGGTAATTTCCTTCATTGCCAGCTTACAGCTGGTATTTCGCTTGCTCTGGGACATTAACGTATTTATTAATGTATGTGATTCTCCCTAAATATTTGAGAAAATTAAACTGCGTATTTGACTGCAGTGCAGCGCTCTTACTTCAGTATTTACATTAGATGTGCTAACTAATGAAATGTCAACCAAAATTTCGTAATACGTTCTCGTTTCGAAAAAATAAATTAAGTAGTGTTGTAAAACTAATCATGATGCAACATAAATCTATAATGATCCAGTAACCTCAAGGTGTCGGCTTTTGAAAGAACTTATTTTCGGCTGCATGCAAGATCTATACTCTGCAAAAAATGACTAATAAAGTAGTATGCAAATTTCTCATTGATTTTCGATACCCTTGAAAATTCAATTATATTTCATGGAAAGCATGCATAAAAATATTCCTTCTTTTACTTATTCGGTAGAAACTCACGTCTTCTTCCAATTTTATACTCAAAAGAAAAGTATAATTCAGTTTTAAAAAACTTTTCTAATTCTCGAATAATCTTGCACCCGACCTGCTGTTACACTTGCATTCAGGGTTTCAAAACTACAAGCTGTATATTTTCCTCGTACGGAAAACCATGCATTTGTCTACGGTTTAAAGAGGAGACCATATGAGGTTCATAAAATTAAGCAGTGGATTTGAGCAATATTGTTAACTTTACAAGCCACATTCTTAAATACAGATGCATGACGTTTCATGAACGGCCATTTATCGGTATTAAGAAATCTCACAATTAGAAACTTTTTTAAAACCAAATTATACTCTTCTTTTGAGTATGAAATTGGACGAATCCGTGATTTTCTACCAACTAAGTAAAAGAATGAACATTTTTATGCATGCTTTCCATGAAATATAATTGAATTTTCAAGGGCATCGAAAATCAATGAGAAAATCGCATGCTACTTACAGTGCGTGACCTATCTCATGAAATGTTGGCTGAAATTCTGAAATGTGTTTTCGATTAGGAAGGATTACTTGGTCGCGGTTCTGATACTGATTATCATAAGGCATACTCTTATAACATTTTAGACTTGGCAGGATGTCGGCTTTTAAATGCACTTCTTTTCAATCTCCTCTAGAAAGCGTGCTTGGTAAAAAATGACTACTTAAATAGCATGCATTTTTCCCATTGATTTTCGAGGGTCTTGGAAATTCAAATATATTTTATATAAATCACAAACAAACACATGCTTTCTTTTAGACAATCAATAGAGAATCAAGTCTTCTTTATATTTGATACTTAAGATAGGAGTATAATTAGGTTTTTAAAAAGTTTTCGAATTGCCGAAAAATTTTGAGCCTGATCATTCGTTGACTTAGTGCTTAGTGATTACACTCTACGAGGTGCATGCGTTCCGCATAAAGAAAATCATATATTTTTTCTTTGTCATTAAAAAGATATTAAACAGGGTCCATAAAATTTTGCACTGGATGCGGACCATGTTGTACATTTCATGAGGAGCAGTGGTAAACGTCCAGGTACGATGCTATGTGAATGGACATTGCGCGGTCTTAAAAAGTCTCATAATCAGAAACTTTTTTAAAACCAAATTATACTCCTTTCTTAAGTATAAAATATAAAGAAGACGTGATTCTCTATTGATTGACTAAAAGAAAGCATATTTTTGATCTTGGTTTCTATAAAATATATTTGAATTTCCAAGACCATCGAAAATCAATGAAAAAAATGAATGCTACTTAAATAGTCATTTTTTACCGAGCACGCTTTCTACAGGAGATTGAAAGGAAGTGCTTGTAAAAGCCGACATCCTGCCAAGTCTAAAATGTTATAAGAGTATGCCTTATGATAATCAGTATCAGAACCGCGACCAAGTAATCCTTCCTAATCGAAAACGTATTTCAGAATTTCAGCCAACATTTCATGAGATAGGTCACGCACTGTAATCAGTCATTTTTTGCAGAGTATAGATCTTGCATGCAGCCGAAAATAAGTTCTGTCGAAAGACGACACCCTGAGGTTACTGGATCATTATAGACTTATGCTGCATCATGATTAGTTTTGCAACACTACTTAATTTGTTTTTTCGAAACGAGAACGTATTACGAAATTTTGGTTGACATTTCATGAGCTAGCACATCTACTGTAACAAAGACCTCTCTTTAGTTCACTTGCAGCTGTCCATCTTGCTGTTTGGATACAAATGAGTTTGCCTTTATAGTCTACTCAGGATTCTCATATGACCTACGATCTCACTAGTGGACTTTGCTATGTGGTGACTTGTAATATGGGTTCTGCTCATTTAAGTAAGAATACCGCAACGGCAATATTTTTTGACTTTTTAGAAATCAATCCCTCCAGAATTTGTTGCAGGACTCTTTGAAATGAATTTGTTGGTTGGCGGCAGTCCGAACAGTTAGGGTACAGTAGATGCACTATATCATGAAGTGTTAGCCGAAATCCTGAAACGATTTTCCTACACAAAAGATTACTTAAGTGCGCTTGTAATAATAATTGAAGTCAAGCCTAATCCCATGATATTGCAGTCACGCCAAGCTTTTGGCTTTCGATAGGGCCTCTTTGCAGCCATCTGCAAGAACTACAAAGTAAAAATGACATTTTCTCGTTGGTTTTCGATGTCTCCAAAAATTCAAATATATTTTTAGACAACAGACACTAAAATATTCATTCTTCTACTCGTTTGGTAGCAAATTACGTCTTCTTTAAACTTTGCCTTTAAAATAAGAATATCTTTCAATTTTTGAAAGGTTTCTTATCATGAGACTTTTTTTGGCCGTGAAATTTCTACTCATAAGACATTGTATCTCCGCATCTATTAGTGTTGCCTGTAAAGTATACAACAGCTTCCAAATCCATTGCCACATTTTACGAACCCCACATGATATCTTCCTAATACAAGATTCTCCTTACACGGAAAATATACAGCTTGTAGACTTGAAACCCTGAATGCAAGTCTAACGGCAGGCCGGGTCCAGAATTATTCGGGAATTGGAAGTTTCAGAAGTCGAATTATACTGTTTCTTCAAGTGCCAAATTTAAATAAGACGTAATTTTGCTACCAAACGAGTGAATGAACGAATAATTTTGCGCCCGTTTTCAAAAAATGTGTTTGAATTAATTAGGCCACCGAAAACCTATGGGAAGATGTCATGCTACTTAAGCAGCCTTTCACAGTGTATTTTTTGCAGCCGGCCGGAGAGAAGCTCGTTCGAAGGCCAGCATCCCGACGTGACTGAAATATCTTAGGACTATGCTTCACGAACTGTAGTACGACAGTTAGACCGTCGTTACTGATGATGTCCACCGTGCGCTCCACAGCAGGGTGAGGGCAGGGACGGCGACTTGCGTGTGAGTTAGTCCAAAGTCATGGTAGCATCTACAGCACTCTCTTATCCTCCACCACCTGGATTCGGTGTCAAGACAGAGCCAAAATGACTGGAGGTAGTGAGAGGGCGCAGGTGGCTGGCACAGCGAAAACCCGCACCCAGACGTACTACCACATCATCTGGTCCACAAAGTACACTGAGCACGATCTGGCATCACAACAAAAGTGGAGGACGGAACGGATCTCAGTTGGCGCGACTTGAATCAATAACTGAACCTGCCATCAGACCCCAATGTTGGCAATTGTCCTAGGTGAGCAATCCTCGTAACACCTACCACATGATAATGCGTAAGCAGTTACAGACGCAACAGCAGGAGTAAGGAAGCAGTCAGCAACTCGACTGCGTGCGATGAGTATGTGAACCGACACAGAGGAAATAGTAACTGCATACTTAAACACCGAGCCAATCGAGCCGTGATGGAAGGAGCCATTGCAGCCTGACTCTCAGACCACCAACCGGCCACTCGACAACTTCAGCACACACAACACTGGGCCGATTGTGAGGTCCAAGTTATCCCGTCAGTTGGCAACCTTCCAAGCCACGGCTTTTAGCGCACCGTGATATCTTCAAGCGCGTCTGATTGTTCATAGTGAGGAAAGTTCGCTGAGTCGTCGACCCCACTCTCCCTTCCCATTCCCAGGTCCCAGCCACTGTCCGAACCGGTCAGCTGACTGCAGCGGGCAATGGACACGGTGACGGACATGGTCTAGTGACTTTTTCTGCGCTCGCCACATGCACGACCTGTCTATGTACAAACACTATTCTAGGCACACTCACGAAGCATTTGGCAGTATGTCCGCATCCTGCGTACAGGTATTTATTTCACCATAAATTTACCGTAGAGTTTTACACCGGATTATCGGCGTCTTCAATTTCAGTCAAACCGTCGGTCGCGGGAATAATGACAGTCGGATCTATTGATACACATTTTTACAATTTCTCCTTGAATATGACCGGTTACCAGGGGGTAGAATTAATTTGTCTTCCATATCTTGCCAAAGGGACTGTTTTACTCTTTTCGCTCGTTTACATCTCGCAATCTGCTCGTGTTTTTGCGTTTTCTAGTGTACTTAAGCAAGCTGTAAGCTCAAATGTGCATTTTGCGTACTCCCTCTTCTTGAATCCACCTGTATCTTAGTTCAAGTTACTCCACCGGAGAAACCCCAATTACCACCTTTCCTGTATTACAGGAGCCCTTGTTTCGTTTTCTCAGCGGGGTCACGTACCCGATCGTCGCCCTTGCCACTTTTGCGGCAACAGTACTCGAAGCAGTCAGAGACGAGGGAACAGTAAAGTTTGAAATTCAGCCCATGCTCGGCTTGGTCTGATGTAGGAATGCCTTCGGGTAATATGAAGTTCCAGTGGTGCTGACAACTGTATCAGGAGCGGGAGGAGGTTGCGTAGCATGGCTGGTAAGGTTTAGGGGCCGTGGGACGACGTTGTACAGGTGTGGTGCTGTGCCCATGGAAGCGCGCGAGGGGAGGGGACGGAATTACCGTCGGAAGACTGCAGCTCTCCATTGTGGTGGGCGAAATCGATTATGGCGCCGGTGCTACCGAGGTTTGGGGATTGGAAAGTAGTGGGGTAGGTGTCATCGTCACATCAGGTTCCTCGTCTGGGCTTGCAGTCAGATTGACAAGCAGGCTAGAACGACGTGGTCGGAAATGAAAGGATGAATAAAGCTGTACATGCGGACTGAGTGACAGCCGCCGAATATCGTGGTCACTGCTGAAGTTACCGGTCGGTAGTACCTATTCTGAATGGACTTTTGTGGACAGCTCACTTCGCTTTGTACGTAAGAAAAGACGCTGTCGGTAGCTTCTAAGACCTCAAGCAAGTTGCCCCACACATGAATTTCTACTACACTTTTTTTCAGTAGGTAAAAACATAAGGTTATTCAGACACTCCATGTAGCGAGGGTGGTCCAGACACTTCCCCGCACCCAGCCCACGCTTCTCCTAACTTAAGTTCACTGAGTCGAGAAGCGGTCGTAACACTACGGTCCCCTATCGGAATCGAGGCGAGTGTGGATACTATCTTGCATTCCGCATTTACTTAACCTAAACTTAGCTCAGAGAATCGAGAAGCGGTCCTACCATCTCTATGTACCAGGGCGAGTGTAGACACCTCGGCGTACCTGACAGTTATACAAACAGGACTTAGGCCAAAGGAATTATAAGGCAGTTGGCTCAAAAAAATTTTATATACAGACATTGGTTCACAGCCCAGGGATAAACCGCCTTCGTTAACATGTCGGCTGCTGCTGCACTGTGTAGGCTTTCGCGATATGCGACAGGAAAATCTCCCATGCTTTCTCTAGCCTCATGGAGTTCAGGCCAAACCACAACCGGTACCGTACTTCATCCACATGTGTCCATATCGCTGGGCCAGACACCGGGCCTCCTTCGTGGAGTTTTCTTTTTAACCTGCTCCAGTACGCCTCAACTGCGTTCGTATACTTGCCCGTAGTGGGGTCTTTGGAATTCCTCGAGTGATTCACCGAGAAGTGTTTATATCCTTCCGAGGGTAGACGCTTGTACGTCTTCCAGTCATCAGTTACGATGACACTTCCTTTCGCCACCCACCTCCTTATAACGGAAATCAGGGCCGTCCAGCTCCTATCGTTAACCTGTTCAAAGAGGGCCTTCTTTCGTTTCGTATCATACATGCCGACCAGCCACCATCGTCTCCAGCGTCCGCCAACATTGTAATTTCGACGGTTGATAAGCGTCTTGTCAATATGTACTTCCACTCCGGGACCTCCAATCTGACCGGTTTCCCTCAGGAGGGCCGCAGAGCAGACGCTGCGACAGATGGCGTACCATTCGACAGCCGTCGTGTGGCACACTCCAACATCTTCTTCGCACTTAGAGACCCTTGATCCGCGCAAAAAGGCCAACAGAATCTTCATGATTGTTCCGATTGCTAATCGGCTCCTCTCAAACACCGAGCCGCTTCTAAGTGCTTTCCGCTTTCTGCATCGTGCACACCCGAACACATAGCCGTCCGTGCTGCGTTTCCTGACTTGCAGTCGCATTTGGTATCTGCATTGGCAGGTTAGCACCGTTGGCAGTAGTCCCCTGGCCTGACAGTACTCCACAATCTTCTCCGAATTAATAGTTCCCATTACTTCTTCAGTATTCGTACGTCGACCAGGGTCCCGTGGTGTAGTTTTCCTTTTTGCTGAGGCTGATGGTCTGCAATTTAAGGAGGAAAAATAACATATTAACATATATTGAATAGCTGAGGTAGTGTGCATTCCGAGATAATATGATAAAGATAGAGGGCTCGTCGGAAAAAAATATATCTAGCCAGTTGCCCTAACGCAGACTATGTTTCCGTAAATTTACCTTTTAAACATCTTCCTGTACTTTTCCACCAGGTATCTTTAATAGCGTGTAAAAGTATTTTTTAATACTGGCATTGCTCCGGCTTCATGCTGCATTTTGAGATTGGCTGATTTGGGTTCGCTATCGTCCACTGACAACACAAACGCGTACACTAAAAACCAGTGGGAGTGGAAAGATGACTTGTCGTTCGTCGTTCCTATTGGCTGGAATCGCCTTGGTTGCCTGACCAGACGTAAAATTACCACCTGCGGCTTATTTCTCAGTAATTGCTTTTTGTTTGTTGATTATCGAGATAACTTTCCTTTGCTATGCAGCAGCGTGCGTTAAGTTCGACGGCCGAAATTCAATTATTTTCTACATTTCCTTGGATTTCACCTCCCGTCCTACGCGCATGCTGGCCTACCTGTAAAATCCTCCATAACCACCATTCCTGTAAGACAGATCACTGGCTAACGATCTACCTTGGGGTCATACAACCTACCATTTCCGAAAAGACATGCAAATGGAAAGGCAATACTGACTGGCCACTGAACAAGTTACCAAGGGAGGATGGGAAAAAGCCGCCTACTTCGTCGGTGCAGAATCGAGCGCCGCAGAAGGACGCTCAGTTGGCTGTTCATCAGTGACGGCAGCGGGAGGGGACGCAATGCAGCAATCATTCAAAGACGTGGGATGAGCAAAAGTCGGCTGCTCCGGTTGCGTCGTGTCACCCTCCTTGTAGTTGTCATCGTTACCGTCGTCAAGGTGGACGACACAGTCACTGGATTGAGAGACATCAGGATCTATGGGCGCCACCGATCTGGACGAGAAATCCGACTCCAATATGCAAGGCGATACCGTAGAGGTCTCATCCAGTTGTGCGGGGACAGCAACGGTAGTCGAGTTGTCGGAAGGAATTCCGGAAATCGATCCCTTGGCTGCTACAGCAGCAGAAGAATCACTTTCGGTGGGCTTAGAGGCCTTTCGCCAGTGCCCATTGGCATCCACGTGGACCATTTCGGCATCTTTGAGACTCTCATCGGCAATCAGCTGGACGAAGAAACTTAAAGAGGCGAACAGTGTAGGGGAGAGAAATTATGCGGAGTCCCGAGGTATAATTAGATGCTAAAGAGAGTTGTCATGACAATACCAAACAGTTGAGATTACTGCCCTATTGTGTCAGATTGGAGTAACATAAATTTGTGTGATGCCGCTTGGTTTCGTGTATGGTATGATTCTTCTTCCTAAACGTCAAACATTAGAGAGAAAGTTGAGGTTTACTGTAAGTAGTTTCTTGGCATACGAACATCTCCGAAAAACATCAAATTAGAACAAAAAGCAACTTCCAGCAAAGGAATCCACTTTATTAAAACAGAATTACGGATGCGCTTTCTTTGCGCGCCACATCAAATGGATCCACGAATTCGTGGATGAAAGTACATCGGTTGAACACACAGCCAGTTGGCGGCCCAACCAGGTTAACAAATTCTTAAGTGCGTTGAGGAGTAAAGAAACCCCCAATCCTCCGCCACTAGGTGATTGTTATCATTCTCACTCAAGTTCAGCCTTATTCCACGTGTTGGTCACAACTCATTTTGACTAGTTTAAGGCCACATGAAAGCATGGGCCTCTGACCATAACAGGACAGCACCTTCGCCGAGACGCGAAAAGGCAGTACTCATGAGTTAGTACATTATATTCGAGATTAACAGAACAACTATAAGTGAATTTGGTTCAAGAAGAATTGGCATTTTAACTGCAAGACGGGAAACCAGCGATATCACTTTATCTATGGACCCGGTGGACGACACGCCCGTGCGTCTTAAAATTCCCGATGACACCCAACAGGGTCTGAGCCATGATCAAATTGGTCAGGCGCCTGATTAAAACGTTCGAGAACAGCTGATCCGGGCACAAATTGCCATTTTCCTATGGTTATGACAAATTAGCACGTAAGGTACGCAATCTAATAAACAACGTAGCCAGAGTGGGCGGTGGCAAAAGTACTTACTCATCGCGTCGCAGATCGCGGAAGGGGGCAGGCGAACTGCAGACAGGACAGGACCACCGAGGACGCTTCTTGTTAATCGTCAGATAGGAGGACAGATCAAAGCACTGCAGATGGTCACAGTTCACTGAGCGCACAGGGATCTGCAGAGGAGACAGGGTACACATGTAGGGCCATAAAATTACACCCACCGCTCGCGAACGAAAAAAAATAACTAAAATGCTCCCCTTGTAGGTTGTTCCTCCCATGCGCTCACTTTCTGGAGACCGTCTGTAATTACCTGTCTCCTCATACCATCAAATCCGTGTCAAATCGCACAAAATTGGCCGGGTGATCATTCTACGTTGAAAGGTTTCTCGACTGGAAGGCCTAGATTTAGGACGCATCAGCCGACATCTGGACCTTCCTCGCCTTACGAAACCCCGAGTCATCGCCTACGTCCGACTTGAGAGATCCAAATGCTATCACTAGCGACGAACAACATCCCCACAACCGCATCGCTTCACAACAACCATAAATTCTGGTGACGAGAGGAAGAAGGAGTAATAATCATCTGTATAGGGACATTCCTCAGACCACCACGACGACAAAAACGGCTTGACTTGAATAAATCACTGGCTACGGCGAGGGAAAGTGGAGTCTATGCCGTCCTAGTCAGGCACTTGCCTTCCTCACTTCGAAGAACCCAAAAGACGCTTTGAAACTGTCATACATGCTAGCCGTCCTGACTTGGGAAGATCGAAATAAAGACGTAATTCGGTTTTACTCAGAAACCAAAGGTTTCTTCATAATGCCATCAATACACTTCTCACTTAAAGTAGGTGGGCTAACTCATGAAATATAAGCCAAAATTTTGAAATGCCTTCTCGATTCGAAAAGATTAATTAAATAGTGTTGTAAAACTAATCATTATGCAGCATAATTCTATGATAATCCTGTTACCTCAGGGTGCCGGCTTTTGAATGAACTTCTTCTCGGCTGCATGCAAGAACTATACTCTGCAAAAATGACCACTTAATAAGCATGAATTTTTCTCATTGATTTTCGATGCCCTTAAACATTCAATTATATATCGTGGAGAACATGAATAAAAATATTCATTATTTTACTTATTCGGTAGAAAATTAAGTTTTTCCAACTTTATACTCGAAGGAGGGGTATAACTCGGTTTCAAAAAGTTTCTAATTGTGAGATTTTTTAATACCGTGAAATGGCGTTCATAAAACGCCGTGTCTCTCCGTTTACCAGCGCGGCTTGTAAAGTTAACAATATTGCTCAAATCCACTGCTTAATTTTATGAACCTCATATGGTCTCCTCTTAACACCATAGAGAAATGCATGGTTTAGCGTACACGGAAAATATACAGCATGTAGTTTTGAAACCCTGAATGCAAGTGCAACAGCAGGTCGGGTTCAAAATTAGTCGGGAATTAGAAAAGTTTTTTTAAAATCGAATTATACTCTTCTTTGAGTATTAAATTGGAAGAAGACGTGATTTTCTACTGAATGAGTAAAAGGATGAATATTTTTATGCATGTTTTCCATGAAATGCAATCGAATGTTTAAGGGCATCGACAATCATTGAGAAAAATGCATGCTATTTATGTAGCCTTTTTTGCAGAGTATAGTTCTTGCATGCAGCCCAAAAGAAGTTCGTTGGAAAGCCGGCACCCTAAGGTAACAGTATTATCATAGAATTATGCTGCATAATGATTAGTTTTACAACCCTATTTAATTAATCCTTTCGAAACGAGAAGGCATTTCGAAATTTTCGCTGACGTTTCATGAGTTAGCCCACCTACTGTATGCGAGATCCCTGGCCCTCTAAATATGATGTCTGGTACTTGGGAAGATATGCATAGGCCCTTTGCAGTACGCATGAAAGGGGAGTCACTGCCTCCATGCCATTTCTAGTCATCTTGACTTTGTCTCGTCATTTGAACACGGGGGAGTGAGCTGGAGGGTTGAGGCAAAACAAGTCTGCCTCTCTCTAAACGAAGCGACGCTGTACCCCGGAGACAGTGATAGACTCGCAAAATAAGGCGGAAACGCGGCACCCTCTAAAGAACTTGAGTCAAACTGATGTGTATCATGTATGAGCGAAGAGGAGCCGAGAGGGAGTGCATTAGAGCGGAAACTTAATCTACAGGGTCAAGGGGTAACGCAAAATTAGTAAAGAATTTCCAGTATTACCGCTGAGAAGCAACTGTGCGCACGACACCACGAAAACAAATCATGTTTACAAGAACTACAAACTTCGCAGCAGAAATGCCTTTTAAAATTATAGAGTGACCCAGCAGTAGTATGCCTAAAAAACCCCCAAAAGAAGCTGCATGACGTTTTTCAGAACATTATCGGCTTCTAGTGAAAATATTGTGTGATAAATTGTCCTCACTAAAAGGTCCGTCAGAGGTCACGGTCGTGCCAGAAAACGCTGACATTAACGGCGCAACAGTATAGCTGACAGTGCCTGGACTCACTTCGATCCGGGTAAGTGCGAGGGGGCAGAGCAAGGAAACGGGAATCCATCCATCAGACTGCAAATCATCCTCGGAGGTCAGTTTGGACTTTATCATTGCCTAGGAAAAAAGTGCAAAATGCTAAGTACCTGCGGCAAAAGTGGAAAATGCAGCAAATCAACTCTTAGGGTTTTGTGTTTGTTGGAATTTTGGCAACTATAAGCCAGGTCTGGCAGAGAACTCCGAGTGCCAAAAAAACGCTAAGAAACTCGCGGAAACTCTACGCCGTGATGAGGAATAGAGTTAATATTCTAGGCGTCATTAAGCGAAAATGACAGATTAGCATCAGGTGCCAGAGAAGTTGCTTTGGAGTGTAAACTTCACTCGATCAAGATCGCATCAAACTGCTTCAGGTTTTAAGATAGAAAATCCCATGGTGCTAACATGTCACGGGGCGAATGTCTGAAGTTGGCAGAACTTAACCTTATACGGCCGCACTAGCTGGAAGGTCGTGTAGAGGCTCCAAGTCCGCGGCAATTGTGGCTGATTGGTTAAAGTAGCATAAACCTGTCATTTGTTCTGTTCCAACAGTCACTTCCAACTACGTACTCGCGTACTAGTCCGGAAAATCAGAAAAAGGACAAATGACTTCAGCGCTCGATCGGTCTCGGATATGTAGTAGGTGGCCTAACTCATGAAATGTGATCGAGATTTGAATGGGTGGTGTGTCATACATTTGGTGTTCTTATTTGTGTTTATTAAATTGATTTAAGACGTGGAAGGCTATTTACTACAGAAGGATTCATTTAAACTCAGCTTCATTAAAGGAAAGCAGACCAGATTTTGACTAATCCTGATCTTTCCTGATATCCAAGTAACTTATTATTATTATTAGTGATGGGGCCACGCCCAGAAATACGCAGGGCGGACCAAAACGGTCCACAAGTAGGCAATACGACGAGATTATTAGTCGTACACTAAAACGTATTAATATGTGCCCATTGGGGCTATTCACAGGGAACATCCGTCAATGGTAGGGGGCGCTCACCGATCGTTCATACGGGACTCACTCGTTCCGTTGTGCCTTAAGGGCTCTCTCTCGAGCCCAACCAGCAGCCGCACAGCGGCGCATGATATATAGGCAGAATGGTATTACCGACAAAGACAAGGGAGACTGGAATGGCCATTTCTGGCTTATTAGCCGTCGTCAGCCAGCCATACCCAAGCCCGAAGTGTGGAACACCCGAGCCTCGAACTCGCGACCTGTTGGTTTAGAAGTCAACGCCTCTACTCACCGGGCCACGAGCCCGTTGCCTTGTCGGTTTTCGATCGGGAATATACAATGTTAGGGGGCGCTCACCGATCGTTCATACGGAACTCACTNGGGCTCGAGAGAGAGTCCATAAGGCACAACGGAACGAGTGAGTTCCGTATGAACGATCGGTGAGCGCCCCCTAACATTGTATATTCCCGATCGAAAACCGACAAGGCAACGGGCTCGTGGCCCGGTGAGTAGAGGCGTTGACTTCTAAACCAACAGGTCGCGAGTTCGAGGCTCGGGTGTTCCACACTTCGGGCTTGGGTATGGCTGGCTGACGACGGCTAATAAGCCAGAAATGGCCATTCCAGTCTCCCTTGTCTTTGTCGGTAATACCATTCTGCCTACATCCGTCAATGTTCTTTATGAGCATAATTAGGACAATAAAACTTACAATATAACGTTTTTTATTTGATAAGAAATGTACTGATTATCGATCCTAATTCTGGATGAGCCTTTACTTCTGCTACAAGGCCTTATTTTTAGACGTCAACGAAGTCGACCCAGACGGTCACGCTCATTTTGACCCAAGAGTTGGGTCATAATAAGTCAAAATGAACAAATGGATCAAAATGAATTATTCAAAATCTGCCAAAAACTATTAATTACGTGAGCCTGGTATTCATCTGGTGCATTATAGCTGGATAACTTAGGAAATCCTGCTTGGGCAATCATCTTACTTTATTAGATTTGATGGATCCCAGACGTTACAGTAAGTTGCGCGGGTAACTTGACCCAAATGAGATTAAACTCACGGCTTCCCGTAGGGCCTCCTAGCTCAGTGGCCAGTGTTGGCTGTACTAAAGCCTTCCTCTTGCTGTCATGTGTTCGAATCCTACCGAGACGCCGAGCTTTTCATAATTGGGTCAAAATGAGTTTTGATAGTAGACATCCAATTCACAAACCATAAACCGGTGTGGAAGAGGAACTCACTAAAGTCTCAGAAGCCGCGATCACGCGATCAGGAGACATACAAAAGTCGTAAACACCAACCAGAGCTTCTGGGGTCTCCGATGGCAAGCGAGGAAGCTTGCAACCCGTAGGAGGGTCTGTGACTGGTTCGCCAGCAACGGCCAACGAAAACATGCGCACAAACTCCGGTATGGGCTGCACACGATCCAGAGTGACTTGAATAAGGGGAAGGTTGAGTAAGTGATTGAGGATGGGAGTACAGGACCCGGAGCCGACCATTTCAAGCAGCGGCAGAGCGTGGTCCTCCAGAGGGGCGTGCAACCAGGTTAGGTCGATTTCAACACCCCGACCGCGGACTGAGTAGTTTGATCGCGTTACAATCTGCAAGTACGAGAAAGATCAGTCGATAATAAAACTGTGTGGACTCGCGCGACACACGTGACAGACTTTAGTTGTTTTCCTTCACTGACGGTGTCTGGGAATCGCCCTTTAAACTCCTCTGTTCCGAAGAAGTTAGGATTCGTGCCCCAGCAATCAATTCACAAGAAAAGGTCAAGTGTATTTTGTCCCAAGTTTCAAATTCATGCCAGACTGCATCACTGGAGAGTGAACAGTATGCCTGTTCTACCGCACTGATACTCAGTCGGTCGAGCTGGATTAGTCCCACAGCCGCCGCAAAACAGCCTGACATTGAAAAAGGGAGCATGCTAGGCAGATGACTGCACAGACACCCCTCCAGATGTCCAACCACCAACTGACCGAACTGTACCAGCTGGACGCAAACAATAGAGTTGGTAGATTGGAGAGCGACCTCAAAAATCTAAAGAGTGCATTCCCCCGGCCATTTAAATCATCTTCTTCTCCCTCTTTTGAATGCTTAGACTGAACAAGCCAGGACATGCAGTAGACCCGAAGGAACAGTAAAACAACCTTGTCAGTGATATCAATTGCAAATCGAAGACGATGACCAAACTTCTGCGCCTGGCCGCCATGAAAGATGGGATCGGGAAGGGTGACATTGCGACGAGCAACTCGGATGGAGAGACAGCGAGGTAGCACTTCAGGAGCCAGAACGCGAGAGGGATTGGACTTGTCACGTGGCATGTAAAGTCCGGCCGTGGCCCAGGCCAACCGAAGAATGAGGCGGTACTTGTCAACGCGGCTGAAGCACAAAAACAAAGCGTGCACAGAAAGCGGCAAGTTTAACTATCTAAGGGAAACCATGCCAACTTGAATGGGCAGTGGATAAGGGCGCAGTGGGGTAAATTTGATAGGCTGGCGGGGAGTTAGTTAACTAGAGTCTAACTAAAAGCACGAGTGGTTGAATTGACTCATCGCCTAAACGACTGTCAAGAGAACCTTCTCTTATTCAGTAGGTCTAAATTGGATTGGAAGAGCCATATGTAATCGTTTCAGCGATTTTAAAAACACGCAGAAAGACCAACAATATTCCGAAATGTTATTTGAGAGCTGCGATAGTTTTAATGAAAACCTCCCAACAGACGAAACTTTTAAAGTCAAGTGTGACGTTACACAACAACATACACAACCCGATTCTGCTCTTTTGTCTCTGATGATGGATTCGAGTAGGAATCCGAAACGTCAGGCTAATAAAGCTCTTGTCCCGGCGATCGTGTCTCCTTCTTCAATACACAACATCCTTCACCAGAGATCGGGTGCTGTTTTAAAGATGAATACATCCTACACTGTGTCAGCACTCAAACCTAAAAATGTGACCTCATGTTAACTGGCCCTACGAATTTCAAACCAATTTCATCTGCAGACCCTTCTCATGACTCTATCCAAACTCCTGCCTAATAAACGTACGAACCCGTCTGACATTGCCTAACTGACTGCCCACGGTGCTTTTAATTTTCAATCAATTCTACCTGTTACTCACTTGCATCAAGACATGTTTGCCTATCAGTCCTGGTCAAGGGCAATTAACTGGCAACTTCTGGCCTTCCCAGACTTCCACAGAAGAGGGTTGAAAATGTCGCCACATACAAAAACAGACAAGACACAGGGAATACACCAATTCCCACCACCTTCCACGTCTTCCGCAGACTAGTAAGATTCAATGAAACAATAACGCGAGACTCAACATCGCCAATCCAGACCTCAGAATCGGATAGCTATTCCGTTGGGTAAGCAATTCGTTTATCAATAAAAAAATAGGACGCTCAATGCTGATTAGAAGATAAACAAACAAGAACGAAGTGCAGACCCACTCATGCGGTCGTCGTGACTGATCCATCAGAATACGCATCGTATTGTTGTCGAGCTCGAGAGTGAAACTGTAGGTCAGATAGCCAGTGTAGAAACCCAGGGAGGCGGCATTCGGCTTGGCACCCGAGAGAATGGCCAGCAGGGGGATACTAGTTACCTTCTGGTCTGCCAGATCCCGCAACGTACGGACCATGTTCTCGGGATCGGGGTATTGAAGGAGGACATTGGCCGGGGAGGCGAACCGTACAGGCCGCAGAAGGGTGACGGGACGCAAAAAGGGAGACTCCGAGTAGATGCCAAAGGCGTTGTTTACGGAAAAGAGGAAAGCCAGGGCCTCCAGAGTCATCTGATCAGCCTCATTACACCGAAGGGGGAGAAACTGGGATGTTAGAGCAGAATTGGGCGATCTGACCAGACCTGCGAACGAATAAACAGGAAGGTGCGATCATTTGACACCCCCAGCTTTATAAACGCCGGAGAATGAGTACGTCTAAACGTGAGAGAGAGAGAGAGAGAACACTTCTATTTTGAAATGGGAGAAAAGGGAAAGGGCCCCCAAATCCTATGGCTTAACAGAAGCCAAGAATGCGGAATTCCATCTGTTGAACTGAGCGGGCATGCGAGTTTCGTTTTTTCAAGGACGTGTCGGCGTGGTCGGTGTTCAGCGCCACTAATAATAAACTAGGGGAAGGGTCAAACTCAGTGGTCCAAATATCAGCTTCGTGAGCGTCGTCTTTGCCATCCGTAACGACATCATGGGACTACTGTTCGGCCTACTGCGGGGAAGCAACGACCGACTGATGACCATGCGCCTGCCTCTTTGAGGATCCAAATTCGCCACCATCGTCAGTGTCTACGCACCTACAATGACCAATTCTGATGAGGCGAAGACCTGCACGCCCTTCTGGGGACTGCCGAAGGCGGACAAACTGGCTGCCCTTGGCAACAGCCCCTGGGATCGCCTGTGCTGCCTGGAGGAGTGCTGGGTCCCCATGGAATCACCGGTTGCGACGACGACGACGACGACGACGACGACGACGACGACGACGACGACGACGACGACGACGACGACGACGACGACGGTCTCCTCCTGCGAATTTACACAAGACACAGACTCCTACAGACCAACACCTTCTGCCTCCCGAAGCGGAAGAAAGCGACCTGGATGCATCTCTAATCGCGGCAACAGCAGCTGCTGGACTACGTCCTCGTCTGAAGGCGAGTCAACAGGACGTGCTGGCTACTAAGGCGATCTGCGACGCCGATTGATGGACCAGCCATCGCCTCATCTCAAAGATAAGTTACCGATTGCAATCTCACAGGAGATCAAAAGGTTGAATTTGCCCGCTCACCGTTTGCATTACAGCAGTCAGTTAGCTCAGCAGCTAGAGGAACTGCCGGCCTTGGTCGACAACACCACTGCAGAGAATCGGTGGTGTCGACTGCGGACTGTCATCCACTCGACATCTTTAGGCGTCCTCGATCGCGCACGTCGCCAACATCAGGACTGATCAGAAGAAGAAGAAGAAGAAGAAGAAGAAGAAGAAGAAGAAGAAGAAGAAGCGATCGCTGGAACAAGGGCTTTATTCGCCTGACGTTTCGGATTCTCACTTGAATCCATCATCAGAGACAGTGGCAGAAAAGGGTGACTCGTGCACAAGAAATCGTAGTATTTATAGGATGCAGTCGCTATGCTACCGCATACCTATAGCAATTAACCGCGCTCCCCTTCATCAAGGATGGCTGCCCGCTGGTGCGCTAATTGTTTGATGGCCGGCATGAAAGTTGTTAATCGCCGAAAAATCATCACCCGTGTTAGATGCTGGCGTGATGATTGCTCGGTCATCTAACTCACCGGCTTGCGCGCTCCCCGATTTATCAATTATCTTAGTCAGCCTATGCCTCAGCACGGAATATGGAGTGGGAATGTCGTTGCACTTGTTGATAGACTGAGGTCCCGTGAACCATGACTCAAGCAACTTGCGGTTCACGCGATTATCCCCTCTCGCGAGAATTTCATCGAACTTGAATGTGTGGCCGGGTCTCGTCGAATGGGTCGCGACTTGAGAGTTGGCGTCATTTCATTGTACCGCTGCCGCGTGTTCGGCAATTCGCGTTCGGAGCAGTCTTCCAGTTTATCCGACGTAGTTGCTTTGTCCGCAACTGCACCAGATCCGGTAAACGACTCCAGATGTTTCTTGCCGTGGCAGTGGGTCTTTTGGTCTCATCACCTGGTTGGACGACAACGATGTCGACATTAGCATCTTGCTCGCTGAAAAGCAGGCTGCACAAAGCCTGCATGAACCGCCGGACAGCCGCATCACTTAAAGCGATCTACAGCCCTACAACTAAGGGAGCCGTGCCACTTCTCAGCTCCGATGGAACAATGCTTCTGACGGAGAAATCACAGATTTTGAAGCGTTGGGTGGAGCACCTTAGAAGCGCCCTCAACCGCTCCTCCGCAATCTCCGAGGCAGCCATCGACCGACTACCCCAAGCAAAAACGAATGACGGCCTCGATCTACCGCTTGCTTCCCCAGAAACAATCATCTGTGCAGCTGGAAAGCACCGGGATCTGACACAATTCCGGCCGAAGTCTACAAGCGCGGCGGCACCCAGCTCATGGATCAAATCACAGCGCTATTCCAGGAGATGTGCCGCTGAGGACAAGTCCCTCAGGATTTCTAGGTTGCACAATCGTCCATCGCTACAAACGGAAAGGGAACTGGCAACTCTATGATAACCACAGTGGAATCTCGCTGCTTAACATCGTCGGGAAGATCTTCGCTCGCATCCTCCTCAACCCTCTCAAGGGCCATTTCGAACAAGGACACCTCCCAGAAGGCCAGTGTAGACACCTGGCGACATTATCTTTGCCGCCCGCCAGCCGCAAGACGAATTCCAAAAACTGTAACCCACCTCTGCACCACCTTCGTCGACTTGAAGGAAACCTTCTATACGGTGAGGAGCGAAGGACTGTGTCAAAACATGCAGAAATTCCGCTGGCCTGAGCGATTCATGCACAGGGTGCGTCGGATTCATGACGGGACGATGGCGTACGTCAAGGAAAACGGGACCGTCTCAGGAGCATTTGCAGTCACCAACGGAGTGAAGCTGAGTTGTGTACTCACTCCCACCCTCTCTACCCTTACGTTTTCTGCCATGCTGATCGACGCCAATTGTGATGAGCAGTCCGGGACCCGCATTTCCTACAGGACTGACAGCCCGCGCATGTAGGCCTCAACGCGTCTCTCAACAACCTGTTCTTCGCGGATGACTGCTTGCTCAACACCGTTTCAGAGGCTGACATACAAGGACGCGTAGACCTCTTCGCCGCCGGATGTACGAACTTCGGACTGGCCAGTAACAAGGACAAAACGGTGGTCATGCACCAACCGCTGCATACAATGTTCCTCGAAATCCACGTCAACAGCACCGAACTGAAGACCGTAAACAACTTCACCTACTTAGGCAGCCCCCTCTCACACTGCATCAAAATCGACGACGAAGTGGTCCACTGGATTTCTATAGCCAGCCAAAACTTCGGTCGGTTGCAAGCCTCCGTATGGAATCGCCGCGGTCTTCAACTGGACATAAAACTGAAGATGCACTAGGTCGTCGTCTTGGTGACGCTCCTGTAAGTGGGCGGAAACCTGGATCGTTCAATTCAAGCAAGCTAAGAAGTTGAATCGCTTCCTAGGTGGCAGGACACGATCCTGAACACGAAAGTCCTGAAACAGACCGGAATTCCCGGCATCCATGCCATGCTGAGGCAACTGCGATAGGGCGGCCACCTCATGAGGATGGACGACGCTCGCCTGTCAGAACGACTCTTCTGTAGAGATGTCGTTAGGGTGCTCGCCGATAAGGAGGTCAAATCCGTCGCTACAAGGACACCTTGAAGAACTCCTTTAAGCGGCTACAAATAAACCCCAAGACTTGGGGAGATTGCGCACAGAACCGACTGGCTTAGAGAAGTGGAGACTGGACCAGCCATCCATGAGGCCAACCGGATCGCCGCTGCCAAAGCCACTTGTGAATCCACCGCACAGAGACTGGCGAACCAGTGCTTGGAGCACCAGCATACATAAGACGTCCTCGCCTCAACTGTTCCCACTGCTCACGTACATACACTCACAGCATGGGCCTATTAGACCATATGCGGCTCCATTAAAACCTGCGATAGAACACCGTCGGCTACAACATACCATCGCGTCTCTCCTCACCAGAACCTACACCACACATGACCACACCCAACGTCACACAAGACAATCACACCATTGGCACCTCTCACGTAGATGGGGGGTGTGGTCCTCGGCTA